AGTTAAAAAAGTTTCAAAAATCCAATAGATTTCGTTCCACTTCACAATTGTGTCCCACTTGTTGGTGATTCTTCACATAAAATAAAAAATGTATATCTTTATGTTTGAAGCCTGAAATGTGGCAAAAGGTTGAAAAGTTCAAGGGGGCCGAATACTTTCGCAAGGCACTGTAAGTACCAAACAAAGTAATCTATTAATGTCTTAATTGTATTTTTGTGAGACACCTGTATAAATGTTTTCCCACTTAACGAAATGTAACTGAACTCTGATTTTTTAACATGTTACCTTTCACAGAGCAGGATTTCATCTCTACTATAAAGTAGTAGTATTTGTCAATTCCTTATTTCTCAGTTCCTTATTTTTCACTAATTAGCACCAGGGAGAAGAACATACAGTACATGTTTACATTTTCTTCTTGAGGAACCATTACAAAGCTTTGTAGTATAGAAAGTATGTTTAGAACAGGATGCTGTTTTGTGCAGTTTATCACTGTTGCTTGAGTTTTGAAGGGTGTTAAAGGAATTTGATAATGAGGTTTGTGGTTTGCTTTGCAAACTTGCTTGTTTATTTTATGACACTTATTTTACAGTGGTACAGTATGTTCATCTTGCAAACAGTACAAGAGCACTTTAAAAGTATAAATAGAATCACAACTAATATCTGTAGTGATGAAAAAACATTTTCTATTTCCTTAAATATTTAATGACAAATGTAAAAAAACATAGTCCTGTATGGTGATTGAGGCATGTGCTGTAGAAGACGCATACACTACTGTACATTTCATCAGATGAGATGTTAAACTGAAAGCCCAGAGTACTTGGTCATTAATCATTGCATGTCACTTATCAAAAGTATAGGGGTGTTAATCCTGGCAAATTTCTACTCTGGGCTTTTACAAATCTGACCTTGTTAACATTCTCCTTTAATTAAATTGGTGAAGCAATTTCTTACTGTTCTACCTGACCAATGGTAGAGAGGGGCTGCTCATCACTTTCAATAGCAGTTCATCACTAGTTCCCGACTACAAGCTGGGTACTTTTCAATTAAAATTTCACAAGTCAAAATGCCCTTTAGCTCAGAAGCCACACTTGTTTGCATGCCAACTACTGGCTTCTGTTAGTTGCCTTGACTCTTGCTATTAATTTTCCATCACTTAATCATTAGATTTCTAGTAGAATTTAGCTGG